AGAGAGAGAGAGAGAGAGAGAGAGATGGTGAGGGGAAAGACGGAGGTGAGGCGGATAGAGAACGCGGCCAGCCGGCAGGTGACCTTCTCCAAGCGCCGCAACGGCCTCCTCAAGAAGGCATACGAGCTGTCCGTCCTGTGTGACGCCGAGGTGGCCCTCATCGTCTTCTCCAGCCGCGGCAAGCTCTGGGAGTTCTGCAGCTCCTCCAGGTTCCTGACTCTATAACTATTTTCTTGGTTTCCTTTCCCCTTGTTTCGTGTGATCTCGCCCATCGTTTTCGGGCCTGTCTTCTTCCTCCTTTGATGCAGTACCCAGTTAATCGATCGGTCTCTCCCTTGTCCTACAAGTAGTACATGTTCTTTGCTGACACTCTCCTTTTGATACTTTCTGTACCTCCAAACTGACAAGGAGCTTTTCCACTTGTTTGATCTCTGGACGCTGCTCATGCGGTAGAACTCTTGTGGATACTTTGGTGTTGATTCTTCTTGAAGATCACCATCATCATGCACAGGAAACGATTACAGAGATCGAAACTATGAGTTGGATCATAAATCCTGAGATGAACTACATCAGAAACAAAAGCAAAATGGATGAAGGATGACCAGAGATTTAAGTTTCAGATACATATAATCGTGCCATCATGTGGGTCATATTTCACATATTAGTGCATCCGACAGCAGTAGCTACTTGTATCATGTATGTTCGGTATGTGTTGGATTAGCATTAGCATTTCACCAACCTGGAAATGCTTGGATGTAAGCTTCTTCTATGCACCACCAGCAAGTCTACCTGAAAGCCACAAGCATGGAAACCATGGCAAGAATGTGCTCCCTGGTGACATGGAAACCAAGTAGGCCTCAGGAAATAGTGACCTTTCTACTGTAGATTAAACTCTCTTTTCTTGCATTCTCCCTTGCAACTTCTCTTTTGCTGATACCAATCACTTCCCTAGATGATTTATTTCTCCAGATTTGAGTCAATAGCTTTAAAATGGTAGCTATTTTTGTTTGTTTTAAGTCCATTTCTCAGGATTAGACATTTAAAATCCCTCTAAAGCATAGATTCTTTAAATAGGGATCCCTTTGTTGTGTCTTAGGAGCAAAAGTTCATCCTGCTCCTGCTGAAATATACTGCCTTTCCTTCAGAAAACAAAGTTATTGATGTCACTCGTTAGGTATCTCATTTTAGGCTCATCTCATGGGGCTTGCATGCTAGTGGACACTTTTGACTGATTGGGAGAGCACCATAAGCACATCAAATTTCAATCCCTGTATCTGTTTTTATTTTTTACTTAATAAGATTATTTGATTTTGAACTCTTATATGTCGCATCATTTATGAACCTGTTTCTTTGCAACTACCACATTGCCAATGGGGAGGATTTCCCCTCTACTTGGCATCATGTTCTTGCAATTATAAGGGTTCTTGATTCAAAATTGTATTACTTCTTCCTCAGAACCTGCCAGTTTTCTTTCAGATCTTCCTTCCTCTGCCTCATTTATGTGCAAACAATATCATTCAATTTTCAACCATTGCTTTGGAAGAAGCAAATGACACACCCCTTTCACCTTACAATGTTAATTTTGCGTTGATTAGATGCGCATAGCATAATGCAATGTTAATTTTCAGCTAAATGTTGTAATTTAACCTTCAAACAACTTTACTTATCACCCTAAGATCAAAGAATTAGTTTGCACGTGCTTATAGTTTAGCCTTCAAAAGCCTTTGAGATGACTAATCATTTCTAAATGTTGTTAGTTGTTTCCACTTGACATTAACATTTTCTTAAACAAAGTCAATGTGAGAACCTATTCAATCTAAAATGTATAATATGTTCCTCATCCCAAGTCAAGTATGCAACATATCATGAGCATCCATACCTCCATGTGATATTATATCAAGCTTTCTTATATTTTTTCTTGCATACATGTAACTCTGGACTGTGTTCTAAATGACTAAGAAATCCTAACCTCAGATGACTGCTCTAACCCTGAAACCAGTGAGATATCTGAATCAACCTATGGATTCATAGCTTTGAAACATATCTGCTGGAAAACAAAGCACATTGCCTTTACAACTAGACTCAAAAACATGAATCCTACCTATAAAGTTATTTGAGAGAATTGACCCCACTTGGATTAGAGATAGATATGCTGCTGCATTATAAGGTGCTAATAATGATTTCCTCATCCCATCTTGTTTATGCCAAATGTGTATATGATTTAGGTTGCATCAGAAATATCAACAATGAAGAAGAATACCTTATTCAGATCAATTATGTGACTAGAAGTTATGGTCACTTGTTTTATGGTTTCATTTCTTTTTAATGTGGTGATTACTTTGGATAAACTACTAATTAATAGAGGGTGCTGCAGTGTGTGTGTGGGAGAGAATTGTGACTGCTGCAAAGTTATACAGTGATTAGTATTATGTCATAATTGGCAACTTTAATCGAGTTCCATCGGACCGATCCCAACTGATGTATGACAATAATACCAAGATAATATATAAAATGAGAGCGATCTTGGATGATACACGGATTGAGTATATCGTATCCAAATCAATCGATATCATGGAGAACTCTAAAAGATGTATGAGGAAGTAAGAAAATTGCTACTCAATCAATGCAGTATGAAAACATGAGCACAATGATATCTTATCTTCTTTTGAAGTTTAAACACATAAATAATAATAGCAAAAATGTCCTAACATGTCACACATACTGACATAGACATGTGCTGCTTCATAGGATTCTTCAGTTTGTTCACTTCCACCTCCCAAGAATTTGGATCAGTAAATGGGAAGCAAACAGTGATGTGCTTAGGATACTAAAGGAATCGATAAAGCTCTCTAAATAGTAAGCCTTTCTTCATTTTCCGCGATTAGGTTAAGCCAGTATTAACTCTTCAGTAGTATGTGAAAAAAAAAAAGCATGTTGGAATGGATGCAAGATTTTATTTCATGTACAGAAACACTAAAACAGATGGATTTTTTTTTTTTTGGGGTTTTTTAACATCGATCTTTATTATGTTTAGCGTTGAATTGAATTCCCGAAGCTCATGTTATATTTAAGCATTTATCTTTCTTATTTCAACATTGATATTTTTATGTTTCTTCCTGTTGTGTACCAAAGTTTGTACTTGATATTTCAACTTCTTTAGCTTTTATTTTTTCTGTCTCTTGCATCTTCTGCAAGTAAATGACACTCATCCTTCTAAACTTTTCAGTAACCCCTTTGTTACTAATCTCTTTTGGTCACTCATTAAACAAACATAATCATTAGGTTAAGCAAGTAAATGACATCCTTTCCTTGTTGAGGATTAGCCAAAATTCTATGGTTATATTTTTTATGATGGATTCTCCACCCAAAATAAATATGGCTACTACCATGACTTTTATTATACCAAATCTATGTTTGTAACTCAACATATAGGGTTGAGTTCTGTGGATCAAATTGAGGCAAACATTGAATACTAAGTATATTCTAGGAATAAAAAAGATCAATGTTATCCACTAATATTATAGGGATGTGAGACATCCTATTTTATCATCTAAAATCTCTCTTCTTCTTTTTTTTCCTCATCAATTGTGAGCAATTTTTAGTGTCTAATGCTTTTATGATTCATTTTTCTCAAATAGTTCATTAACCCTCTTCCATTCTTTGGTGTTCAGCATCGAAAAGACGATGGATCGCTACTTGATGCAAACAAAGGATGTGAATACCAAACACAGCGCAATGACCCAAGAGATGAAGGTTGAAAGGCTTCATCTTTTTCTATCACATGGATTCTGATAAGTAAATGATTGTGCTGTTGATCTTTCAAGTCAAGCATTCCAGTAGTTAGCTGCAGAAACAAGAAAGATCAGTTCTGCAATAACACTCACCAGTGGAAACATTAGCCATATTCAACAACATTGAATCCAAGCATTCAAAAGCATCTGTTCATGTTTTTTCTTCACTTCTGAAGATTACTCAAAAGCATTGAGTTTTTAGCATTCCATTTTAGTGCTATCAACACTGTCCAAGGAGATCTTCCCTCAAAACTAAAAGGAAAAGGAAGAAGAATGAGATCAAGATCTTATCAGTAACCACTGTGAATCATAAAGTAGACCCAATGCAGCTAATAAGAGAAATTAATGTTATGCATAAAAGAAAAAATAAAACCTTCATGACTTCTTCTCCCTTGGTTTGTCATGTGTATATTTGTACCTGCTATTTGCAGGATCTGATGTCTGAGGCCACTAATATGACAAAGAAGATTGAACTTATTGAAGCCCATAAAAGGTTCCTTAATTTTGCCCACACTCCATCCTCCTTATTGTTCTATCCAGTTTATAATTCTGACCACTTGGTGAGCATGCATCATTTGCTTTGGTACAGGAAGCTCCTTGGTGAAACTTTGGAAACTTGTTCAGCAGCAGAACTGCATGAACTAGGGAATCAGCTGGAGGAGAGCCTGAGACAAATTAGGAAGAGAAAAGTTAGTCCTGATGAGACATCCTTTCTTCTCTTGCTCATCTTGCAAACCTAATTGGTTTTGACTCACTTTTCTTCTGTTCATTCAGCAATGCCTCCTAGCCGAGCAAATCGCAGAGCTCAGAGAGAAGGTAAAAGCATCATTCCCTGCCATATGATCATTCTTACTGCCTCACTGTAAGGATCTCTGTTGTTTTATGCATGAAACCCAGGAGAAGAGCCTTTTAAAGGAGAATAAATTATTACATGAAAAGGTTATCTATCTGCTTCACTTACATTTCTCTATCAAGTAGTCATTTTTCAGTGAAAAATAATCTAATTAGACTTATTTATTCTGTTAAAATGAAGTTCAAGGGAGGAAATATGCTACGATTAAATGCAGCAGAGGTTCAAAGCATGGAGGTAAACACACAGCTGATGATTGGGAGGCCAGCAACTCTCTGAAGTGACAATACCTCAGAATGCTCATTGACCTTCGATTTTAAGTAACCTACATCTGTTAATGCTGCTTCTAAGCACTGAGTTCTGTGGATACACAAATGTGTCTACGGCCAAAGAACCATAAGGAAGTAAAGCTGAACTTAGAACACCTTATGGTAGGTGATGAAATAAGTAAATATCATGCTAAGATTCATGTATCAGTCAGACTTGTTGAGCAATGCTGATTGCCTGCAATAAATTAGTATGATCCTTAGATGTTGAACGGCATACAGAGGTCTGACTACTTCATGCAAGATTAGTGAAGGTGTATATTAAATCCTTGCAGTAAGGACAGCATATCAAGGTTTCTTTGGTTCTCAGCTGCATGCGGTCACGAGGTCTGAGGTTTCTCTTCCGTCCGAAGCAGTGGGATGGAGCAAAAGATGTATGAGTGTGACGATCGACAAGTAGCGCTGCCGGACGCCACAGCCAAAGAGAGAAAGCAACGAGACGTAGTAGTTATAGTAGGCTTGTCAAGTGAGATCCCATCAAATCTTTGTCAGAGAAAGAAAGCAAGACTTTGACCTAACAATTCCATCAAATCATTTTGTGTCGGTCAACCCCCCCCCCGCCCTCTTTTGTGTTGACGTGATAGTTGTTCCTACATTGTTCTTGGAAGGAGTGATGCAGCCAAATGAGACTCGAAATGACTTGCTACTTTGGGGACGCAGCAGTTGCTCTCCCCATTTTCCGTGTCAATTCAATGCAGAATGCATCTTGCGCAGAAGGTTTTCTCCCGGTTTTGTGGATCCGTGGACGTGTCTCATTGCCCTGGGCACATGTAGGTCGATGTCTTGACAAGACTCAAAGGCTTGGCAAGACTACAACTTTGCTGCAGTAGCCTTTGCCCAGGTTTCCTGGATCTGTCTTTTCATCGGAGACCAATCTTGCTAGATAGATTTCAAAGGCTTAGGTAGTAGTGCAACTATGCATCAGAGATGCTGCATGAGTAATATAGTTGATGGAACCTAGAATGGGTCAGGAGCACATGAAGGATTCTGGATCTAAAACCCTAGCATAAGGATTGCTGCCTAACTCAGACTATGATCATCTGCAAGAGAAGTAAGTTTAATATAATGTTTCAGTTCATAGTTAATCAGATATGGATTGAAAGAATCATTTTTTTTTTCTTGTGGATTGTGTTCATAGCATGTTCATCTTAAAATAGTTGATGTAGGTGGAAAAGGAGGAGTCCATGCAATCAGCATATGCCATCACTAGTTGAAACTGTTCATTCAATATATTCTCACCTTACTCGAAGACTATGTTTTCAACTCTAAAGATTGAACTTGCACTCTGCCGATATGTGATAACTGGCACTTCTCTCTTATGCATTTCCTTAAGGAAAAGATTACTAGATGGAGAGATTGTATTGAACTGTTCTCCTTCTTGTGCTGACACTTCTGATGCTTGACCACATCGAGGAACTGAAAAGGAAAGCGAGCAAGTTTTTTGTTTGTACAAAGTGCTGATCCACAAGGCTTAAACATGGCATTGAATTAAGAAGCATCTCTGCATCACCTTTTATTTTCTTGCATAAATATATAAGCATTATTTGTAGCTTGATCTGTTAGTTCATTGCTAGCCATCCAAAATTAGGTTTCAATTATTTGAGATGTATTAAGATGCTTTGACCTTTACCTGCAATGCTCTTCTGAAACTTGGTGCTAACTTATCGAAAGTTGATCCATAATTTGTCAGTGCTATCTGATGGGGATATAAACAAGAATAACCTTTGTATATGAACAAATACTAGAAGGCCATGATATGCAACGGAATTAAATGAAATCTCAATCAAATAGAACACCAAGATATACATGGAAAACCCCTCCAATTTGAAGGGTAAAAACCACAGGGTAAACTAGAGATAATCCACTATAAGAATAATGAATATACAAATCTCAATCTCTTGTCGTAAACCCTAGCAACAATCACAAGAGAACAACTGGGATACAAGGATCACGTCACTGTCCACGATATCTAAAACCTCCTCAAGTAATCACAGCAAGAGTCTACTGTAGATTTGATCTAACATGAGATAAGAATACTGCTAGATGATTGAGAACAGTTTCTCTGTGTTATCCTTATTTTTTTCCCTTTCTTTCTCTTCCTTTTCTGTCTTGTTTTCCTCCTTTTCTTTGGAATCTCGTGGCTGTTTCCTCTAATGTTTTTCTACCCTATTTATCACTATGTCAGTGTTCTCATCCTTTGTGGAGTACCTTTTCCCAAGAAGATTACAAGGTGAAGAATTGACAATCTTGTAACCAGGTTTAAAGCTCTGATCTGATCAATTAGTCATCAAGTGGGTGAGATTGGCTCCATGTAAATTAAGATAGTGATAGTAAAAAACAGCCAATGATAGAATGGTTGGTATCTGCACCTTTAAATTTATATAAAAAGATTTGCAAAGAAACATCATGTGAAGAATGCTCTAATTTCAGGAGAATGAGGAAATAAATCATGAATCATTCATTCCTATCCACATTTTAGTATGAGGGGAAGCCTGTGATCCTCTTCTCATCTATCTGTAGGTCCACAAGGATGAGGCTTGAGCTAGTGATTCAGGGCTTGTGCTGCTGCTGGGTCTTCTCTCCAAGTACATGTAGGTTCATGGATAGCACTGCCCACCGCATTTCCCCAAACACAGCATGCATGCTCTGTGTTTGAAGGCAATGCAAGGATGACTCCGTTTACTCCTCAGCTGGTCCATTTTGGTACAGAGTTCAGGTGGCTATGGGGCCCGCAAAATTCACTAGCATTCACCTGTTTGTCCATTGTGACAGAGATCAGATCAAAATGGAGTCATCATCACCTGAAAGATTGTACTTTGTGTGTGGTGAGGAATGGGACCATCAGCCTTGAGGAACTCTCATCTGATTAGTTTCACATGGGATATGAACTAGACTTTGATTAATGCATTCACTACACCTCCAAGCAAACAACTTGTAGTCCATTCTTTATCTACCACTTAGGTAAGCAACTCAACTCGAGCTCTAGCATTTGAACTTGGCATTCAAGTCATCTTCTATTGAGATCCACCAACCTCCTCCTCTGAGGTGTGTGGAAACTACCTCTGTTAATTGAGATCCCGTGATGGACCACCCACCTCATGGTCTGAGGCCACTTGAGCTCTTCCTAGCCATCGAACTCTTCTGACTTGCAAGTTCATCTTGCTTCCTTTCCTTTCACCTTTTTGTTTTAAGCGAACTCTTCTGAAGGCAAACCTCACCAGGATCAGTTGAGGGTGCTCAAAATTAAGATCAGAAAGGGAGAAAAATCAGTCCAAGTGCTGCAGCGGCAGTGCCATCTTGTGACACAACCAAGGAAGATGTTGGAATCAGAGATGTCTACCATGAGGTTTGAATGGGATATATTTGTGCTTGGTTCAGTTAATAATATAAGATCTTAGATCTGTACAGTACACAGAAGAGCAACAGAAGCCATCTGCAACCGAGACTGGATCATGGCATGCACACCATCTTTTCTTCCCTCTCATGGTCATCATCAACCATCAACCCAATCCTTTGCAGGCAAAATAAATGGATTTACACACTCACAAGATGCTTTCTTTTTCCATGTAGAATCATGTACACCAATATCTCGAACGAGAGAACACGGTAAAGAGTAAAGGATTTCAAGTGACTCGTCAGTCTTAGCACCAACTTTGTACATAAGCCTCTTGAGGTAGGTAAATTATGGTTCATCAGGGTACAAGAACACTGTATTAACCCACTGTATGCAGCTAGCTATTCTTTGGCTTCAACCTCGGGAAGGCTCAGCAAACGCGGCATCGTCCTCCTCCTCCTCCTGCTCCTCCTCCTCCTCCTCGCTTCCGTTGGGCAACAGCTGAGCTCGGCACAGAGGGCAGGTGAGCTGGCCAATGTCCACCCACTTGTCGATGCAGGCCTTGTGGAAGGCATGGGAGCAGTTGCCGAGCTCCCTGACCTCGTGCTTGGCCTCCAAGGCGCCGAGGCAGACGGCGCAGATGGCTTCGCCGCCGTGGTGTGAGCTGGGGCGGAGGGTGGAGAACCTGACGACGGGGAGCCTGGTCTTGATGGCGGAAGGCGGAGAGGGAAGCGAGAGGGGGGAGGGCAGGTCGGGGAGCTGCAGGGGGAAGGCGAAGTAGTCCTCGTAGGAGGTCGCGAGGCCGAGGTAGAAGAGGGCCATGGAGACGGCGAGCTTGATGCGGTCGAGGAGGTTGACGACGAAGGCGACCGGTCGCGGCAGGATGACAGTGTAGCAGACGGAGGGGAAGCCCATGGATGAGTGAGCGAGCTGATGAAGAGGAATTGCAGGTGGTAACGGTGGTTTATGGAAGGAAAATGAATGGGTTGGTGGAGGGAGATAGTAGGCCTCTATAAATGTGACAGAGAGAGCAGAGAGACAGAGAGAAAGAGATGAACACCCCATGTGATCTCTCTCTTTTTTGGGAGTACGAAGGAATCGGAGGGCTGAGCAAATGCTGCCTTCCCCAGGGATGGACAAACTTTGACTGCAAAAAAAGTTGCATGCATTTTAAGTTGTTTAGTGCAGAAGCCACCCACATAAGAAACCTTCGACAAAATAAAACGTGACACTAATAAAGGGTTAGAATGGCCAAATTTTTATATATAAGTTAGGAAATTGACCACCTTTCTTTTTTTTTTCCCCTTAAAATTAATTGACATGGTTTTGCAGCTCGGCAATATAGACAGGAAATGGAGTTATAGAAGACGCGATGAACTCTGTGAGTGCCCTCACCTGCTTTACACACATGATATCTTGGTAAAGTATTTATGAATGTGTACAAAGTTTCATTGTGACATATCATCATTCACCATGTGCCCAGGGGCCCCATAGCCAGAATGCACTTCTGTTTGGTAGTGTGTCAACTTGTTTAATCTCAGAGCAATCTTAAGATAGATGAATACTGTTTCTTGAGGTTAAACTTGCTTTACTTCATAATCAACTCTAACAGAGAGAGAGAGAGAGAGAGAAAAGGAACCTTGTTTCATGCAATATGCCTGTTTGTTTAATGCATAGAAAAGTCAGGATAAAATACGAAAGATACTATGCTTGATGGAGCACTTATAATTAGATCAAGCCATTCTATGCTATATTCTAATCAAAAGCACAAAGATTCGAGGAGAAATGAGGTCACTGATTTACCTGAACATGTGAAGCTTCCTCAACACTCTTCCATAACCATAATGAGTTGCTTGACATGAAAGCTCAAATGTCAACTTGTTTATGTGTGTGTGTGTGTGCATTGGCATGGATGCACTTCACATCTTTTTTACCTCGGCAGTAGTTTGTACAAATGCCACTGTCATGCTCACCCACTCCTGCGACAATGCATCATGGCAGGAGGTCCCACCGGGCTGTGAACACCCCTGCCACACTGAGAAATTGTTAGTCTATTATATCAATGATCACATACCAGGATTCCTTGAGCCTTTACCCAGCTAAATAAACAAGAGTCTTTTGTCTGAGGCATGACCTTCTTGTCTGCTAAATGCAGGGAAGGTGAAGCCATGGCTACCCCTATTATAAGCTTGAGGAGGAAGAAGGGTGGGCAAGGAGAAGACATGGGAAGTGGGTTTGGTGCAATCGGGTAGCCGCTTCTTCTACCATGTCTTAGAATTTTGCTTGCAACTTGTTGATGTTCCTTAATCGACAACCAGTTAGGTAGTGACAAGATTAATTACCTCTTGCACAAGTGGAGCGGTCGGTGCATTTGTTGTTGTTGTCATCCCCACCTTCTCCTCCAGTAATATCAGTATATCTTTACCTGCATGTGTTGAAAACTTATGGTTACACATCAGTTAATTAGAAGAGTGGATGACAAACTGCATCAAAAAATTCCAATTTGAACTAGGAAAATAGTTAATAAATTAAACTCAAGAATGAGGATCCATACCCAAAATTTCAAATTGGATTCAGATCAGTCAGCAGCTTAGCAGTACCATCAAGACATAAACTGGGGAAAAAAAGGACAATATAATTCTGAACTAAAAGCTGTTTTAGCATTAATACAAAACAAATGAGAGCTGCTTCAACTTTCAACATTCCATAGTACCACCTAAAGGGAAAAAAAAGCTGTTTTCACTGTATCCCCAACAATGCTTGTTTGTATGTGTCCATGGTGCTTGATGTTCACCATCAGGACATCCACAGTAAATTCAAGAATCTTACAAAGCTTGTGGGTTGCTTTCAAAGCACAAGCAACTCACATTATTTTCATTGATACAGCACGTTTTGCTGAGGAACCTACACAAGAAAAGGGGTCATGTTAATTTGATAAAAAATATAAGAAAATTAAGAGCTGCGGCACCAATGAACAATTCCTCAAGACATATATTTCTTAAATTATTAAGCAAATTGAGACTAAAACAACAATTTTAAGTCCCACAAAGCAAAAAAAGTTTTACAAAACATAATGGAAAAGGATATTATTTGAACCATTTTAATGCCAACGATTTGATGTCCTACTTATGCTAGCATCCATTATTCCTCTGCAACAAAACATACTTTCATTGCTCGTATAAAGGACACAAGACACATGTTCTGTTATCATGGATAGCAGAGAAAAGGGAAGGAAAGCAATTCACCATACCAAAAGCTATAGGTGTTAAAAAGTTTAGAACTAATATAATATTTTAGATAAAACATAAAAATATAAACACAGTAACAAACAGTAATATATATGGTTTGGTAGAAAGCTTAAACTGCATCATATATTATCTGACATCGCTTACCTGACATAAACAGATCAGATCTACCACAAGCATATCTATGCAGCTCATCAGTCATGAAAGAAACACTAGTCTCAGGAAAAGCACCTAATTACATTGCATCTACATATTATATTTATGTGCTCAAGTCTTGCAGACCATTCTATCTCCCCATGATCATCTTCCTAGAAGTTAAGAGTAGATTTTTTTGAACCTGGAAATATCAACATCCTTCTACGAATTTAAATTTATTCATTGTCACAGATGGTCCAGGAAATTTTCTCTGGAACTCAAAGCATTTCTTGAATGCAATCAGGAATACATAAAATGCACTTCACAATTTTTTTTTCTTCACGTAGCAAACTAAGAGGATCAAAAGATGAGTGTATATGCTGACATATGATAGTTGCGTGGAACATGCTAATAAGAAGGTATTGATATCCTAGTTAGAGGGTTTCAATCCATGATACAGATGTTAATCTCGCTGAGCATAAAATGTCACATGAATCCTAAATCCAACAAGAAAAGTTTGCACCAATCACTAGAAAAGCTACAACAACATACAAAGATGACAAAAACAAAAGATCATATAATATAATTTACCAACTAGAAACTTTAGCTAAGTTGCTCCAAGTCCAATTTGACCTGGAATAGTCCAAAACGTCTCATGGCAGTCTAATTCCATACCAGACAAGCTCCAAGCAACAAAGGAACCAAACAATTAACATCACATCCAGAAGTTTGATGTTTCTACCACTATTGTTAGAGACAATCAAATAAGTAGCTAATACTTGACATGGGCAAACATTTTACCCAATGCATTAAGCAATTGGAGAAATTGACCCAAATACTGAAGCAACTGACCCTATCCCTTACATATCATGAAACCACCCTATGCCTTACATACCCACAATTGCTCCACAACACGACGTATTCCATATGCTAGGTAAATATGCTGCATCCATTTGCTGCAGTTTTAAATAGCTATACATCTCGGGTAACACAAGTAAGTCTCTGATTATGAGCTTCGAGCAGACAAGAGGTGGCAACTATTTAGGTGAACCACAGGTGGCAGAAGGTTTAGCATCTTCAAACTTCCCATACAGTGACAAATGTTATCAATCAGCCACTATACCAATCCCCTTTACTTCTTGAAGAAGTCACAAGGCTGAAGATGCACCATGACAGACCCGAAAACAAATGCCAAGTTGGTCTATTAGGTTATATACTTGGGCATTCTTGGCACCCCTGCATTTTAATGCACCTTGTGAGAATGAAACAAGCCCTTAAAAGATGCAGCATCACAAATTACAACATTCCCCAACTAGATAAAATTTCACGTTTGCATTTGAAATAAAGTATTACTAGCATTAGCATATGTCCTATTAAATTAACTCTGGGCATGTTTAACATGATATATATTTCCAATGAAAAATAATTGGAAATTGGAAACAGATATAAGATTGTAACTGACAGTGAAGAATTGTTGCATCTCAAGAAGCAAAACCTCTAGTGGATATTAAATAAGGTAGTGAACAAAGTAAAACGATACCGAATAATATATGGTGCCAGTAGATGAAATAGAATGAGCCATAACCAGTGAACAGCCAATGTACAGACCATCATATATAAAACAGGCCCACTGAAACTCCTGAGTTGAAATACCGAGTAGCTGGTGGAGCATGATAACTTAAACAACCCAACTGATCCAGAAGCAAAGAAAACTTTCCACCGCCACTGCCAATCCTCTGTGCTAAGATGCATGTAAGTTAGGACAACAGAAACTTCAGCACAGACACTGACCAGCAATAGGACTATGAGTAGGAATCCAAACACATAATGGACCCTCCAAGCCACATGCTAGGAAGGATGAAGAAAAGTTTAACAAAGAGGGATCCAAAGGGAAGAGTCCACAAAGGATGCTACCTAGAAGAAATTTATCTTGTTATCTGGTTCTTTTGCACATAGTGCTGAATATGCTAAGCCAAAGTGCGTCAGTAACCCACCCAAAAGGCTAAGTGGCATCAAGATCGAGTACCACAAGGACAAAAGATCTAAGAACAATGAGATTGGAAGAACTCCTGTTATCTTGCTGACTCACAGTATGACGTTTAAAATGCATATAACAACAAGCCCGATCACCCTCCATCCTGAGGCATGTATCCCACCTTAAGAGACATCCGATGTCAATTCTCACAAATACAACTTCATAGGCAACTGAGATCTCTTGCCCCCAAATTGATTGGGACTTGTCAAGCTCCAGAGTGCAGTCCATTGGATCAATTTTATCATACATGTTAAGCTTCGACATGGCAGCCGGATCACGCTTCACGCTGCATGGAACAACTTCATAATACCCAGACATCTTTTCCTTTGCAGTCTCCGATATCACTCCCACCCTTCTTCACCTCTGCCAATAAACTCCACATTCTTCGCTTCAATATGTTACCGATCTAACCCTAAACAATATGAAGCCACAAAATTAGTAGAACACAGAATCGAACGCAATGGTAAAACCGATACCTAAACAAAAAAAATCAAAGATTAAAGAGGAATTCCTACAAATTGTAGTTCCTCGTTCACTATTGCCAACAGAGGCGAAAGGAACGGGTCTGGTTGAAGATAATAAATGTATCGATCGAATTAGGTCAACGGATTGGATCGACTGAAGAGCAATACAGCGAGGAGATTGGGGAGAGGAGAAAGAAACGAAGCGGTTCTCTCTCTCTCTCTCTCTCTCTCTCTCTCTCTCTATATATATATATATATATATATATAGAAAGAGAGAGAGAGAGAGAGAGAGAGAGAGAGAGAGAGAGAGACTCGAACTTAACGTTTGTCAGTTACGCTAACTAACCAAAACACTAATTTTGATAATACAACTTTTAAAGATTATTTTAAATATATATTTTTTTTAAAATTATTATCAACCATAATTATCAATAATTAATGTTATATATTTATTTATGAACTTCACTTAAACCTAAATATAAATTTAATTTACTTAATTTCAAAATTAAATTTTACGTGATAATAATGTATTAGATTAATAAATTTTACGTGATATTAATGTGGATGAGGCACCTCGGAGGGCGATGTCTTGGAGATACGTAATATTGGTCGGGATTGACTCTTGCTAGTCGAATCTAGATGAATAACTCTTTCTCGACTGCGTATCTTCAAAGCGCCCTCGTCCATATGGTTTACTTAGTCCAATTTAAGATCAATCAAATCTTTTATGATTTTAGTATAATAATTTCCTCCATCAACAAGCATTATCATAAAATTTTTCTGATTTATTACTAAGATTCGTATACTATCTAGTTATTCACATGTTAATCAACAAAGAAAACCTTGACCTAATAGATTTAGTATTTCATTTAATAGAGTTACAAGATGAGTCTTGAACCATAGATATCCTACTAGTGGATTTTGATCGTTAATTTGATTTAGTAAAATTAGTTCTATTTCTCAAATGTCACTATGGTTATAGTAACTTACAAGAGAAAATTTATCTCGAGGATAATAAAATACTCATTCCATAAGAAATACATACATGAAAAAGACTATAAAGGGGTGCATCCAGCTAAACCCCTTAGATGGATAAATTGATTTTTATTTATTGCAAATATAGAAAGCTTATAAAGAGTTCAATTTTAATCCTTTTTAAAGAATATATGCCTGAAAATATTATTTTATGTACTAATATTAGTGTTGTAACGGCTAGTTTAATGATAAAATATTTTCTCTAGGTGTTATGTTAATATTATATATTCAATAAACTTTTATATATTAAAAGTTGATGTGGCATGTCTAATAAGCTTTAATTAGACCCCCACATATTATGTTTTTACTGATAAAAGTAGATTTACATGCCTAATTCTATTATAACCCAAAACCTACCCGACAACTCCACCATCAATTTTAAGATTTTGTTCTCATAACATATAATCTTTTAAATATTTTTGAATAAGTTATTTTCAAACACATTTACAAGAGAGAAAAATCAAGTTGTATATCAATTTAATTTGTGCATAACATTTTTCAAATGCTTAATTCTCTAATAATCCTATCGTCCTTTGGATAAAATCCAGGGGTAAATCTGTCATCCTGCCAGCACTCGGAGGCATTTCCTTGATTCCTCCCGACCACCCGCCCCACGTACTCTCTCAGAACGGTTTCTGCCCATAGCGGGGCCCACATGGACCCCTCCTTGGCTCGTCCATAGATGCAGGTGAGCGAAACACGGGTAACTTGGGATGGGTGAAGGGACTTACTCCCGTCATCCGACGTGGCGGATAAGAGCGGCCCAGGTTGCGCGAACGCCACATGTCCGGGCCCCTTTCTGGGGACCGCTGCGGGCCCCGTCCCGGCGACGGGGTTTGCGCCCGCAGCCTCATGTTCACCGCGATGTCGCCGGCCATACGTTCCCATCGACCGTTCCCATGCGCTCGTCCTCATAACTCCAACCTCCATATGCGGCCGCGGCTGCATTGGCCTCCGCGCAGACCATCAAGATCAATCGATTTGGTAAAATCAACGGTTCTTGTCATCCCGTACGTATATTTTATAGGTGTGTTCTACAGGTCCGTATAAAGCTTCATATCTCGTGGACTAGCTTTCGCCACCTCTTCCCACCGAACAACTCCGAAAAGCGCACCTGAGTCCCAGAACGACCACTGATATCAGCCCACATGGCGCTAATCCAGACCGCCCATTTCAGCCTCAAAAAAATAATTATTTTAAGTAATTTAGATAAAGCTCTCCGGGCGTTCTCCGCGTCTTCTTCCTTTTTCTTTTCATTTTTATTGTTTTGTTATTTCTCAAAACCACAAGAAAAATTCGTGGCTGAGGTTTCTCCTCCCCGCGTCGAGAAAGCGAGGCCGCCTCGGCCTCCCTCCCGCTCCTCCCCTTTTCCGGCTCGTAGTTGCAGTCGAACTCCGCTCTCTCCCGAGGAATATATAGATCTGTTTCGCCTCTTCAAAATCTTCTCTACGTGGAGATTGCGTTCTGGATCCAGTTTTGTGATGTAGAAGGGTTTGGGTCTTTCGATCTTTCATGCGCGATGATTTTTTTGTTGTTCTTTTGGCAGTTCAAGGCGACTGGATTGATTGGGTTTGGAGGTAAATATTGGATGGAACCGATCTGTGATTGGCTGATTTCTTTCTATTTTCTTTTTGGTTCTTGATTATTGTGTCTGGTCGGATGATGGTGCTGTAGATTTTAGCAAGTTATGAGGTACTTCTTGCGCCAAATTGAGCGTCTGGTTGGAGATATGGAAGGAGGATTTGCGCTCTTTGTGGATGACCTGAAGTCCAGCTGATCCTTGGTTGTTCTTTTGTCTTCGCTCTGCTTCTTGAATTTAAGATTTCGGTATGGAAGGGAACTCTTCTGGAGAAGATGTGGTTGTCGTGAAGGTCGGAAATTAGTGATGTCTCAGTTGATCTTTACTGTTCTTTTTCTAGTGGATGCTTAAATAAAAGAGTTGTTTTGGTGCAGACGAGAAAGCCATACACAATTACAAAGCAAAGGGAGCGGTGGACTGAGGAGGAGCACAACCGATTTCTTGAAGCTCTGAAGCTGTATGGGAGGGCCTGGCAGCGCATCGAAGGTTTGTGGACTTAACTCATGCTTCAACTTGGACCATTTAGTTTGAAACTGGAGTTCTGTGTGTATATGGTCCGGCTGTTCTATTATGAAGTGTCCTTCGAGCCATAGGGTATAAGACCGTTTGATTCCTACCTCAAAGGAGTAGACCGTTTGTTACTTAAAATAGTATTGAGATGAGTACTGATTTTTCAGTAACAAATTAAATGCTATGTTTAACATTCTTTTTTATCTTTTTCACTTGTGAATGAATCTCATCTGTTTTATGCTTGTGACAGACTGTGCAAATTAAATCTAGTTTGTGTATTTAGCTTAACTCATGATTCAACTTAAACCCGATCAAAGATTTAGTTTGGAACTTGAGTTCTGGGTGTACATGGTACGGCTGTTCCATTATGAGGTGTCCTTCGAGCGATAGCATGTAAGACTGTTTGATTCATACCTCGAAGGAATAAACTGTTTGTTACTTGATAGTATCGAGTATTGATTTTTTAGTAACAATTTAAATATTATGTTTAGCATACATCTTGTCTTTTTCACCTAGTCATGTCATCTGTTTTATGCTTGTGACAGAGCATATTGGTACGAAGACAGCTGTGCAAATCAGGAGCCATGCACAAAAGTTCTTTACTAAGGTCAGTTGCTTTTCTTCTTTTGTAGAAATCCATATATGAACTCTGAAGCTTAGGCAAACTATATGTGCTTTTATACTGCCTTTCATGGAAAATTTTATTAGATGCTTGAGTCAACTACAAGGATTCTTTCTTATTTGGTAGTTAGATTAGCTTTACTGATTTAGAGTCTCTCCTTGATGAAAGTACATGCTATATTGTTACACAAGTGTTGCTTAGTCTCAAAAAAAAAAAAAAATCCTAAAAAAAGTCTTACTAGTCAATATTTGCATAAAACTTTGCAACCAGATATAAATGGGGATTTGATCTCATGCTTTTGTGGCACATTATTTTACTGCTAGGATACTAGTGGTTTTTTGTGGAAATATTTTCAGACAAGCACTGCCAAGATATCTTTCATCTGCAGAGGTATTTATAGAGAATCACCACAAAAATATTCATCATTGATAGTTTGATACTTTCCTTGAGATATCTTATGCTACCTATCGTCTTAAACTCCGGCATAATAGTTTCTTCACCTTTACTTTTAAAATTTTTTCTCTCAGTACTTCTGACAAGTTTGAACTTTGAACATATATGATATAAGCTTTTCATTACCTGTATGCCATGCTGATAAAAATGGTTACAATGACCTGATAATATATGATGCATGCTTGAATGTTTATTGCTTTTTACTGAGATGTTTTGCTATCTGGACCAGATTGAACTTGATAGAACCCTTAACTTACACTTTTATTTCATTAATAATGTGCAGTTAAAATAGACCATGTGACTAGGCCATGACGCCAAGTCCTGAAATATTTAAGCATTATGGAGGATCTTTTCCTTTCATTATAATCTAACAGAATATGTAACGGTTCTTCAATCTTTATGAAGCATAGGCTTCACTTTTAAGTTGAAGGTAGATTGGTTTTCGGGCTTAGTGGTGTAATTTACAAGAACATATGTGTTGATAGCACGATAAGTTTATTTGTTTGGATTTGTTTCTCCCCTTTCTTTTTTGGTTCCTTTTTCTTAGCTATTCATCATGCCTAACTACTCATGTAATTTTTATTTCTATTTTATCCCTTATCTCACTTTGTCATGCTATTTTATTTGTTTATATATTTTCTTCATTTTACTTATATTTTCTTTTCTGTTGAAATTGCTCTTGACCAAGGATTGAAATATCGTACTCTACCGAAGTTTCGACATTCTCTCGGTACGGTACGGTACAGTGCTGTATATCGAGCAGTATATCGTTCGGCACACACACACACACACACACACACACACACACACATATATATTTTGGCGACATCGCCGACTCCCCCACGCGAGGTGATGTCGCCGAGGTGGGGCGATGTTGTATATAAAAAAATGTGCGACGTCGCCTCTCTTCTCCTTAGGGTAGGCAATGTCGCCGAGGTGACGTCGCAAAAAAACGAGGTGACGTCGCCTCGACGTATGGATTTACTATCGGATCGGTACGT